GAAGCTTAATTGCTTTAGAAACTGAAATAAAGTCGGACCTTAAGTATATCTTCACCATATTTTAAAACAAAATTTTATTATAAATGATTTCAGTAAAATCCGAACTATTACATCAAAATTAATCCAATAATTTATGAAATGAGTGCCCCATTCTCTTTTTATTAATTGTAAACAAAATAATTGAAGGGCCATTTTTGAAAGACAAAATACAAGCAATTGTTACAAACATTCCATATAATACGAGTATATTATAATGTTTATTTTACAATGTTTAAAGTTAATAGAAGTTAAGGCCAACCGCATTTTAATTTAAAATAAATTTTTGACTGTGATTACACTATGGAAAAAAAATAGCAAAAAAAACTTCTTCGTAATAAACTTCTCTAAATTCCAGTTCATTAAATTTTTCAAAATAATTTCAAATATAATTCATCTTCATGACTTGTATGTCTGACTCCCTGGACAATAATTCCATACAAATTTACAAATGCATAGTATATTATATTTCTACATGTTGCTTAATATAGCATATATACCTAATCTTATATAGAAACAAACGAGAACTTTACATATTTCATAAACACATTTTATATTTTTTTATTAATATATTTATGAAGTTTCCTATATTATTAGTTTACGATTCATAAAAAATAAAGGATATCATAAGGATTTTCCGATATTCTCGGTTTATATTATTGTAGTACAAAAAACATAAATTATTTTAATTTGAAGAGAAAAAAAAATAGAAAATTTTCTTTATGGGTAATTGAGCAATCACTTCTGCTTTTCGTCCTTTACTTTTTACTTTTAGGTATATTTGTTTTTTTTATTGCTATTTCTTGTAGAAATGAATGAACAATTAAATGAACGAATGAATGAATAAGTATAGATTTGGTTTACGATTTTTAAATATCTGAGAAAAAGTATTTTTTTACATTACATTTTAATTTTATATAATTTTTATATAATTTTTACATAGGTTCATAACAATATTACAATGGATTTGTATATGTATAAGTAGGAATAATAAATTTTGGTTATAACTCAATATTGAATTTAAGGAACTAAAAAAAGAAATAAGAAAAACCAAATTCAGCACATTTGCAGTTAAAACAATTTCGATTTGAACTATAGCATACTCAAGTTAAAATATCGTATGAGTACTGGTGTACTATAAAATTTGCCCTTTATGAAAATTTCTTGTCTTATTACTTATCACATATTATCAAGAATTAAAAATTTTTAATGGACAATTTAACAATAAATACTCATGTGCTTTTAGAATAAATAATTAAATGATGAAATTTATTTTCCTATATTTATTGTTAAATGCTGTTAATGTAATATACCTTTAACCTTAATAGTATGTGCAAAGCGAACATGACGAAGGTAATTTCATGAAGATGATAGAATGAAAAATAATTTTATTGTTAGAAATAATTTTATAGAACTGATGGTAAATTGTAGCGATCAACTAACAATATAGTTAAGGTTTGAAGTTTAACTTATAAAATTTAGACAATATTGTGGAAAAGTCATTTGTACAATAAGTTCAAAATTTAAGCTGCTTATAACCTTGAAAAAAAAGAATTCGGTTAAAAGAGATTCAATTTCTGCAATCCAAACAGGAATGAAAAATATAAAATCGATCCTAACCTTAATTGTGAATGAAAGTTGAGTTTCGAAGCCGATACGTCCACAATTTTTGAAAATCATTTTATTGTCCCCTTATATGCAAAAATCACAATTTAACTTAAAGTTTAACTGATAGCACCTAAATTCCCAAAAATACATCAACTAAAACTGATATATAATATTTTATCTGTTTTTTTCTTATAAAAACCTTTTAATATTCGGTTTAGAATAGATTCATAGACCCAAGCTGTAGAACGTGACATACTCCAAACTAATGACATCCAGAAAGTTAACTCAGACCTAAATTTTAACTAAAATCAGATTCACTTTAATCAATTGCATTTTATCAATTGCTTCAATTTCAGTTAATTGTAGTTAAAAATAGGGGTGATAAAGTGCAGAGACAGATCGATAGACAAACGTTTGGATAAAAATATTTTGCTCTAACATAGAGAAATAGATCTCGGTTGAAAACTCAATATAATTAAATTAGGTGTGATCACAATACCTTTCAAATGGTATGAAAAACGATTATTAGAATGACAAAAATATTATTGTCTTAAGAAACTTTTATCTGATCACTTCTTTAAAGATATGATTACATCCGATATGTTACTCTTGGCCATTGAACCGAACATAAAATTTAAAATATTTTTTTTGCTATTTTACCTTTTTTATTATTAATTTTTTCTGCCAAAAAGCTAACCTTAATGTACAAAAAAAAAAGTTTGTCAGCATCGCAAGATGAACAAAAGAGTTTCGCAAGATAGTGAAAATATCCTTTCAGCTCTTCTTTAATTAAATTTGAAGGACGCTACCAAATTTTTTGTAAACATATTAAAAAAAATGCTAATTTATTAAAAAAACTAGTTTGAAAAGCTGAAACAAAGGAAAAACATACAAATCTGATATGGCAACTTTAACCGCTCTTTCAGCGAAAATATTGTACAATATAATGAATATTCCTTTCAAACACTTCTTACAAGTTTAAGAACGTTAAGAAGCTTTGAGTTATCATACCTGGAAAAATATAAATTAGGCTCTTAGTAGAGGCTTACTTTATGCGACAAAAATTCCCTGAAAAGGTTGTCAATTAGTTGCGGTAGTAAACAGAACTCAAATATTAATTAATTAGTAAATATTGACTAATTAATATTTTCGTTTTAGTTTAGTTTATTTAAGCTCTCCTATCACGAAAAATTGTATTACCGCCGATTTGTATTAAAACAAAAACATGCAAAATTTGGTTCCATCACAAAACCCTTATTAGATGCAATGTGGTCCCTTATTTGATGCATTGTTTAAATTTTCGGTTTTCTCATTGCTTTTTGATTTTTTCCAATATCAAACGTAATAATTTTGAAAAATAAACTCATAGCTCGATTGCTCTTACTTATATCTATCTGGCTTGATATTATTATTTCTGGTAATTCTGTAAGGAAAAATGTTTTCCTGTTACTACTGTCATCTATCGATAAATAGAATAGTATTGAATAATATTTGCATGAAGTTTAGATATGTGCATATATGGAACTAGAAATAAGATATAGATACTGAAAATTTTTTGTTTAGATGTCGGTATGTACAGTAAAAAACTAAAACGGGAACTTTTTTTCTTTTGGGAACAAAATATTCATAAAAACAATTAAACCAAAACCAGAAATAAGTAAGAGATTTTGAATTGAAACATTTTTTGGTTGGATGTCGCTACGTACACCGAAATCAAATTTTTTAGGAACTAAAAATTGCAAAGGGACTTTTTTTCTTTTGGACACAAAAGAAACATAAAACAATAAAAACAAAACGTAAAAATAAATAAAACGAGAAAAAAAGTAGAGTTGACTTTGTCAACTCTGTGATACCCGTACGAATTTGTTGTCCTATGTGCGAATAACTAATGTGCCATAACTAACTATGGGGCAGACTATGACTTTAAATTGCCGTATTACCATATTAATTTATGCAAAATTTCAGTACTATGTGTTTTTCAAAATACTGGTTGTGCCAAACTACTATTGAAGTTGTATGGCAGCTACCAGAAAGAGCCAAGAAATTTTACCGAATTTTATCAAGCACACTAATATATTCACTTTATCGGCCCTACCCTACTTGTAAAATTCAAAATTAAATTAAATTTTTACTCAACTCAACGTATGAGAATATAAACGGTATGGATATTAGCATGAAAAGTCGTAAACAAAAATAAATAATATTAACATAAAAGATAATTCAAATGTACATTATTTCTACTTGAAATTTTGAATCTTAGTTTTAAAAATTAATTATAGCTCTTCAATATCGTCTTCTGAATAGCTTGGTTCATTTAATTTAGATAAATTATTTTTAGATGAAACTTTTTCTACCAAGTTTTAAGTTTTTATAAAATGCTACTGAATGCTTCTAACTAAGGTTGATCGATATTGCGCACATGAAACGAGTAATTATGTTAAATTTTATAATTATGTTAATAAAATAAAATTTTTTTTGAGCTTTTTCTAGTACTACTTACTAGAAAAAAATAGACTATATTAGATTAGATTAGACAAAATCTAATCTAATATACCAGACTTACAATTTATACCTGTTATCTGTAATTTATAATTAACATTAAGAAAAAAAGAAATTTGTTTATTGTTTTAGAGTTGTTTTAATTATATTTATCCTTTTTCTATTTTATAACACTCTTTTATACATATCAAATATACATACACATCACAATATTAAAGAAAAAACTGAATACATTACATTTGATATTTACTTTTTATCACAGTATGCCATTTTTTCTCTTTATATTTCTTATGTTATATTTGAATTATATATTTTTTTATTCGATTTTCTAATTTAATAACATGAAAGTGGAAAAAATGAGAGGAGTGGGATATTACAGACTTATTTTGTTAAAAGGTCAGTTTTGCTTTATTTTTTGTATGAAAATGGCCTTATTTTTGAAAGAGGTCTCTACTCTTGGAATGTGCACATTTAGTGGTTGTGAGAGGCATTTTTCCAGTGCAAAATGTACATTTTTGTGCACTTTGGTGTATGCCCTTTTTGGACGAACTGTATGCCACTCCATTCTAATATGATATGATTGATGAGGACTATAAGTACATATCCTGTTTTTATGGAAAATTGACGAATAAGCGGCTTTCAAATTAATTTCGAAATTAATTTAAATCGTTAAAAAATTTACCGATGGTTGCTGTCTTCACTACAAATAGATTAGTATTTTAGACCATTTTCAATTTTTATCTATTGCGAATAAATTATGTCAGTAGTTGTCTGTATCAGCTGTGAATCAGCTGTTTATTGTTTATATTAAACATTAGTTGTTAGTGTTTTCTTTTAGGTTAAAAAAAAAGAAAAAATCTCAAAAATTTTAAATAAAATTTTTAAATTGAAACTTAATTTACAACATCAAATTTCAGAGCACAAACAATTATGCGCTTCCAAATAAAAAAAAATAAAATATTTAATTTAAATTCACCACTAAACTTTGAGTGTGTGAGTATGTGGGAACCCACCTGCTGCAAATTGTAAATAGTAATCACTTTTCGAAAATATAAACAATAAAATATGGATAACGAAGACTTTGATAGCTTTTGTAGTAAAATTTTAAATTATAAAACAAATATCAGCTTAAAAGTGTATCATCGGACAAAACTTGAAAAAAATTTCAAATATGCTGAAGTGCTTGAAAGTGCTACATATATCCAAAACATTTTGGCAAACCTTAAAATTCCACAAAACAGTCGAATCGGCCTTTGCGTTCCTTCTAGGCCTGAAATTGTTCCAATCATATTGGGGTAAATTTAATAATAAAATTGTGAAAGTCATTTAAGAACTTAACAACTTATTAAATTTTAGCATTTTAAAGGCGAAAAACACATTCTGCCCCATAGTTTCCAAAGTTAACCTGGATGATCTAATAAAAAATATTGTAAAATTGAAAGCAGATTATATTATACTATGGATAACAATTGAGCATTCTAGTTTTACTTTAAAAAGAACGTTTAAAGTTTTTGGGACAAACTTTTATATTTACCGAGTTCATGATTTAGGGTTCAATTCAAAAACAAAATATAACTATTGTTATTGTATAACAACATCTGGGACAACAGGATGTCCTAAAATTATTGCAGTGCCTTGGAATTGCATATGGTCTAATATTAAAAGTTTAAGGTGTATGGTTTTTTTTGCATATTACATTGTTATAACTATAATTACTTAATTTTAGTGCAATTTATAATATTAAAAGCACAGACGTCATCATACCAACCTCTCCACCTACTTTTGATCCATTTATATTAGATATATTCTTGGGACTTAATAATGGAGCAAGTTTACTTTTTACGTCTAACATTGTTCATGATATTTCAATATACTTTCAAGACATATTCAATAAAAATCAACTTGGAGCATCAGTAATGCAGATAACACCTTCAGTATTTCAAACTTTTAGCGAAAATACTGTGAAATTTCTTTTATTTGAGAATTCATCTCTAAGAATTTTAACTTTTGGCGGTGAACCATTTCCACACTTGAAATATTTTAGAAATCCCAACGGCAATCTTAAAAAATCGCCGAAAATTAAAATTTTCAATATATACGGTATTACAGAAGTTTCCTGTTGGGCTACTTTACATGAAGTTAACGATATGAATGATCCGTTTAAAATACCAATAGGAAAAGTTATGGATCCCGATACAATATTAGAAGTAAGAAAGTGTAACTCAATTGTATGCACTAATGATAAATCTTTTGGCGAGCTGCATATTGGAAGTAAAACACGTAAATGTCTTATAGAAGATGAAAACGAAATAGAAATATTTGAACCGGAAAAAATAATTTTTCGAAGCACTGGTGATATAGTTGAAAATTTGAATGGAGAAATGTACTATAGAGGAAGAATAAATTCGATCATTAAAAGATTTGGACATAATATTGACACATCTGTGATTGAAAATAAATTTCTTGAAGAATCTACCATAAGAAGTGTATGTTGTATATTTGATGAAACGAAACATGAATTGCTGGTCTTTCTGATAGCAAAACAAAATTTTAATCCTCAAATTTGTCTCAATAAATTAAAAATTGTTGAAAAACCTAATACAATAGTGCTATCAGATGAATTTCCTGTAAATCAAAATGGGAAAATTGCGAAGGATGTTTTATTGCGGAAGTATCGCAGTAAAACTGATAGCTTCCGAAATTTTAGTGTTTTGAATACATTTGATGTAGTTATAAAACATATCAGCAATATCTCAAAAATTTCTTCAGAATTTTTAGTAAATTTGTTGAAGTGCAAAAAAACTGCAAATAAAAAATTAAAAACTGTTTTAAATTCCTCTTTTTTATCTCTCGGAGGAACTTCTATAGACATTCTTAATTTAGTAAGTGAAATTGAAACTCTTCAACAACGTTCATTGGATCCCAAAATTATGGAAATGTTATTTGACAATAATTGTCCGGTGTCGGAAATTCTAAATTATATTGAGAATTTAAATGAAAGTCCTTTACAAGAAAGTGAAAGTGAAATTATAGAAGATTATTCAATACAAACAAACTTCTTATGGAAATTTGACACAAAAAAATGTATCGATGCTAGTCCTACTTTTCATAACAATTATATTACAGTTGGCTCTCATTCTCATATGTTAGCCAACCTGAATTACAAAAGTGGTGATATTATTTCAGTTCTTACACTTCCTGACAGAATCGAAAGTCAAGTGACATTTTATAGAGAAACAGATTACGACCATGGTATTGTAGGTTGCTATGATGGATATTTGTACAAATTTGACCCAGCGAATGGTTTATTGATCAACAAATTCTATTCACGTGGAATGATTAAATCAAAATGTTTAGTAATTGAAGAGTTTGTAATATTTGGTAATTACGGCGAAAAAGAAAATCTGTTTTGTTTGAACAGAAAGGTAATAAATTGTATTCTAAACTATAGCTTATGTAAATATATTTAACATTGATGTACGTATATTCAGGATCTTTCTTTGAAATGGTCATTGAGATTAGGAAGTAAAGGAATTCTTTCTTCACCAATTAAAGTAGAAGAAAACTTAATTCTTGTCTGCACTTTAGATGGAACTGTCTCTTCATTTGATATTGAAAGCGGAGAACAGCAATGGTTTATTAAGTACGCGAATCCTATATTTTCCACTAGCACATATATTAATGAATTAAATGTGATATTACTCTCAGAGGTTAATGGTATGCTTCATTTACTTTCAAAGGAAGGACTCGAAGTTTGTTATAACCTTATATTTAATTAAAATTATATTTTTTATGCAATATGTTTATTTTTAGCAATCATCATTCAAAGCAGATGGCAATATTTTTTCATCATTTGAAATACAAAAATTAGATAACCAAATATTTGCTTACTTTGGTTGTTACGATTGTAATGTATATTGTGCTAAAATTCAACAAGATAGCATTGAAATAATCAAAAAAATTAAATTACAATCATCAATTTACTCAACACCAAAATCAATTTCAATCAATGATACATATTTTATTGTTAGTTGTTCTTCTCTTGGCATTATTAATATTCTAGATATAAAATTAGAAAAAGTTATTAAAAAATTAAAATTGAATGGTGAAATATTTTCAAGTCCGTTATTTGTCGATGATAAACTTTACATTGGATGTCGGGACAATCATTTATATTGCATTGAATTTCGGATTAATTTACCTTTAACTTGAATAAAATATTTATAAAATAAAACTAAGATTTTTTTAATGTAAAATTTTTTATCTTTTAATTTATAATTATGCATCAGTACATTTATTAAAATTGCAACTTTTTATTTTGGTTTGGAACTGAAACTTTTAAAATCGGAACTTTTTTATCAATAGCAAGATTTTTGTAATTTGCACTTCAAATAAGACATTGGGACTGGACATTGGGACATTTTTTCTAAATCAAAGGTTTATTGCATATATTGGTAGATATCATTTCTTCTTTATTGGTCTTGAATAATCAAATCTACAATCATAATTATTTTTTTTTGTCTTTTTCAAATTTCAAAAAGTTATCATGCAATTGTCTTTGAAAAGAAGAGCAATTCAATTTGTTATAATTTTTAATTTGAAACTTAGAAAAATGTTGAATAATCTTCATAAAATTCTCCCCTAAGTCTGGGTGCTATCTGCATGAAGAAAACTGCATAAGTAGCTAATGAGCCAAGAAACTAAAAAAAAATTTATATTTATTATGTACAATTTTCTTTTAGAATTTTCTTTTAAAACAAACCGCTCTAAACACATTATTGTTTAGTATAAAAAGACCTTTCGCATTGAACTCGATTTTTTGATGAATTAGTTGTAAACTTAAATTGTGTACCTATGTATATCAAACTAAAATTAACTTTATTTTAAGTTAAAAGTTATAACACTTATATCTGGAAATCACTTACGTTATTTTCAAGGCGTAATTTGGTTATTATGGAAATAAAATATACTACATTAAAATATTTTATATTCCAGTTTATATACTAACCTGATTCATCATTTTCAAGTCAGTTATTGGTTTTTGCAAGCCGAATAACACGGAAAATAATTTCTTTGCCTTTAATAGGATTATGATATATAAATGCGTTTAATTAAAATATTTCTTTCCTTCATACATAATTTGTATATTTTTTTACCAATTTCGAACATTTCGTTGTACTATCCAAGACCAAATACATTAAAGAAATTGGTTGTATTAAAGTAAATCCAAATTCTACAATTACATATATGTAAGATTTTAACAATTTCAACTCAAATTTTATTTAAAAATATTAAATTTTATTAACATATTTCAACTCAAATTCGTTTAAAAAAAAAATTATTTTTACAAACCCTTTCCGGCACCATGTTCTTCTAGTCTATAATCAAGACGACAATAAAAGAAATAAATATCAGCCATTGAATTAATAAATAAATTTAAATATCCAAAAACTAAATAATTATCAAATATTTTATTAATTAAACAGGACATTTCATATATCCTTTGGTAATTTTTTTGATATTTTTTTAAATTTTTTATTATATACTTATCGATTTTAATTTTATTTTTTAAATGTATATTTTTCTTCATAATGCAATTAATTAATTTTGAAATTTTTTTTATATTCATTTTTAAGGAAATCAATTCAAATTTAATTATCGTGTCCATTATCATTATGAATTGGAACATTTTCATTCTAATTGAAACTGTTACAGGATAATAAAATAACCAAAAATATTTTGTTTGTTCATTTGCAAAATTCTTCTTTATCATAGATATTTCAATTATAAAACATATTATAAAATAACCATAAAATTTTGTACAAAATTTTTTTAATATTTTTAATTTTAGATAATATTTCTCTATTGGTGTTTCATTAATATTATGATGATCAATGAAAAATGAATTTCGTAATAATTTTAATAAAAATTTTCGTTTTACTAATGATTCTAATAATGCAACGAAATAAGTTAAAATAACAACACCAAATTTAATGTGATCAACAATAATACCAACAATGTCAATATTATATAAAATATATTTTCTATTATAAAAAACATAAATGCATTCAAATAATCCAATTAATAAATTTTGTATAGAAAATAATTTCCATAAATTAAAATTGCTTCTATTTGAAGAAATAATTTTAGATTTTAATTTTAAATTTGAGTTTTTTTCAATACATTTTGAAAAGGTTATTGGAAAAAAACCAAAAAATCTAAATATTTTTAAATGCCACAATATTATTACTCTAGTTTTTAACATTCTATGACTTTAAGTTACTTTCATTAGGAAAATTGGTTTATACTGAAGGAGAATAAAAAATTGTTTTAAGTTTTACTCGTATTTTTAAAGGATATAAATTTATTAGTACAAGAAGGTAATAAAAAATTTATTATCCTATTAAAATTTTAATTTTTATAATGTGAAAGTTGATTAAAATGTTATGATGGGCGTTCAAAGGGTTGTAAGTCCAGTTTTTTTCAAAAATTACATTATTTGATTAATAATAAACAAAATTCGTGTTCTGTAAAATATTATAAACCAATGTTGAATATTTATTGTTAGAAATTGTTTGCTTCATTTAATCGACTGCACTGCATAAAAAAGGATTTGTGCAGATAATTGTATCTCAAGTTAGGCTGAACCAATTTTTACAAAAATTTATATTTTACTTTACTTTGAAGATGAGACAGTTTGATAAACTTTTAGGATATATCGGGTCACTGGAACTAAATTTTTATTAGCCGATTTGACATTTTTTTTCATTCTTAAGAAAATAATCAGGGGATTTTCTTGAGATTTTTTATATAGGAATTGAATTTTTTTCGTATTAGTACAAGTTATAATGACCAATTTTTTTAATTTTCTAAATTAGGAATTATTATTCCTAATGTTTAAAACCATTGTTCTAAAGATTCAGTTTTTCCTTCTTCCTGAAAATTTCTGTTTTTTGACTTATACTTCTTTGAACACCCACCATAGAATTTTACATATAAATTTTTTCATACTAAAGCACATATTATGTAGTTGACATTAAGGAAAATGTTTTCGTGTTACTAAACTTGTTCTAGAGAAATTTTTTAATATCTGCTAAAATAAAAATTTGAAAAATTTTCTTTAATTCAATTTTAATTGATTCAATTTATTAAAATCGAATCAATTAAAATTGGATTAACATCAGCTACAGGAAATTTTAATAATCTACACTTTTATCATTTGCAAAAAACGGCATTTAATTGGTGAACTGGAAAAATATCACTTTAGTCCCCACTAATCAAAAAAATATATTATACTTTTTATTTTTAGAGATCGGAATTATGAGCCTTTGAAATGATTTATTTCGTTTTGAAATTAGAAAAACTAAGTTTCGTTTTTAATAATTCTTATTTTACTTATGAAAAACGAACAATTTAATTGATGTGAATTTGATATGAGCAAGGGTAAGCTCCGTACTCAGGGAAGCGCAATAGATTAAACATGGTCGAATCTATAAAAATCTACAAAATGATGTGAAAATCAAAACAAAATTTTAATGAATTTTTCAATTAAATATATTTAACTTTTACTCATTTATATTCAATTTTCATTTATTTACTTTTTCTTTTATTTTATATCAATTTATAAATATCTGTTTTTTGTTTTTTATATTCATTCATTCCATTGATTACTGAATGCAGTTTTATTTTTCTTATTATTAATTATTATTTAAAATATATTTTAATATATATGTATATATATATAAATAATATACATATATATATATTTTCTTTAGTTTCCACATGTACACTCTTTTTTTAAAACTATCAAATTTTCTTACCATCTACAATAAGTTTTGTTTTTTTACTTTTCTTCATCAATATCAAAAATTATTTTCAATTTTTTTTCTTTTATTCAACAATTATGTTAAATACAATTATAATACATAAATAGTTTTAAATTGTTTCTTTTTTTTAATTATTTAATATTTTTAAAAATTTTATTTTATTTCATATTTATTTTTAATTGAATTCTTTTTTTTTATGTAGAAAATTTATGGAATTAGAGAATTAGAGATAAAAGAAAAATTTCACATTTAGAAGTTTAAGAATTAAACCAGTAACAAAAAAATTTAACAATAAAATACTTATGTGTATTAATTGGGGGTTTTCGTTAATTTAATTTTAAAATAGTTCTAACTTGCAGCGTTTTCGAAAATTTAATGCTGTACACACTGAAAGTGCAATATATAGATTGTTCGGAAATTCATTCTATAATAAAAGTTTGAAATTTTAATGTTCCAACGACTGATTATTTAAAAGCTTCAGACATTATTTTTGAATAGCAGACTGCATCAACATGGAAAACCTAACTTAAGTTTTTGATTACTGTTTAATGATGGTACACATAGAATTTTAAGTTCCAATGTAGAACTTTCAGCGCAGAAAACATAAATGAAAACCACCATCAAAGAAATAATTATTTTAATATTTAGCTATTTAAAAAAACAAACATTTAAAGCAAGTAGACTGATTTCAAATTAAAAAGACGAGCTTTATCAAGCATCTCGACTTTTTACATTTTTAGTGAAAAGAAAGTGTGTATAACATAATATGTGTGTAATGTAACTTTCAAGTGATATTTATTTCGTATTACATACATATAAAATGACATACCCACATAATTAGGTTGCAAGTGTATAACATAAATAAACTGCGATAACTATTTAACTCAAAGAATATGTCTTTTAACAACGACAACGATATCTTAAGAAAGATATATCAAAGAATATATCTCTTTGATAACGATGTCTTTTAGTAAATTTAAATACTTTTCTTTAATTTTACTATAAAAAAATAAATGTATTAAATTTTCTTTTAAAATATTTGATATTAAGTTATTTTCAATATTAAAAACTACATTTAGTAAAAGTTAATTTGAAAGATTTTTTTGATAAGAGAGATTAATAAAGTATCGCGTTTCAGTTATCCCACAAAACAAATTATCCCATGCAATAAATTTATTGCGTTATCTTTTCAGATTTAAATTATTGAATAAATTCTCCATTAGATTTGCATGAAGCAATAAATATGTGTAAGTACAATATTTATATTTATTTTAATTAAACAAAAACTCTATAATATTTATATTTCAAAATATACTAGTTATAGAGTTTTTTTTAATCCTCAAATTTATAAAATATATGATTTACATATTCAAATATAATGGAGAT